GCACCAGCTGTGCCCCCTCTCTCTGGTAATAAAGAGGAATGGTGCACCAGTGACCGGAAAGTGCCTTAATTTGGAGCTGCCGGCAGTAGGTTTCAGAGTGAACGCTGTCAATAGGTTTCAGGGTGAACACTATCAGTGGGTTCCAGAGCGAACACGTAACAACCCAGTGCTGACGTCAGCTGCTCTCTTTTTTTTTTTTGGCCGCTGGGGACACCACCTTTTTCTTTTTCTTGATGCCAGGGATGGGAGCGGAGTTGAGGGCGTTGAGGAAGCCGAGCCCTTCCGTGGCTGTGGGAAGGAGGGGAGGTGTCACCCCAAACCCCCCCAAATTGTCCCCAGAAAGACACCCAGAGTGTCCCCAAATTGCCATCCCTAAACACAGCACCCAAGCGTCCTGTGAAAAGGCACCCAAACTCCCCTGAATCACCCCAAAACCCCCCAAAGTGCATTCAGGTGGTACTTTCCCCCCCCCCATCCCGCTAAGGTGGTATCTCCTCTGTGTGTCCTCCCTGCACTAGACAAGTGGTATCTTCCATCCTCCGGTGGCCTGCACTGTTGTACTGGGAAACGGGGAGGGGGGGGACTGGGCCATACCATTGTACTGGGGAAAGGGGAGGAACTGGGACACACCATTATACTCGGAATGCGGGGGGGGGGAACTGGAGCCCAGTATCATATCGGGAAATGGGGCAACTGGGCCATGCCATTGTACTGAGGAAGGGGGGAACTGGGACATACCATTACCCTGGGAAAGGGGGGATACTGTTAATTAACAACCAGAGGGTAATTAAGCAGTTCACCTGATGCTTTTCCTTCTCCATTTCCCTTCCCATTCCCTCTTTATAACTGATCCAAAATCAAGCAGGGCCCTGGGAAGCAGGGGGGGAGAGTTAATTCCATTAACGAACATCCCGTTAGGACTTGAGCTGGGATGAAAATAAGCGGTGTCACGAAAATAAAGCGATTTAAAGCGGGGATCATAAAGCAGCTGCCCCGAATCCACGCCGGTGGCTTCAACCCGGTTTGTGGTTTTATAGAGTGCCAGGACGCGCTGGGGAGTCGATCCTGGGTGTTTCTGCCGGAGGGATGGGGAGAAAAAAAAATAAATATCCAAGGACTCATTTGGGTTGCCAAAAGACTGAGGGGACCCTCGGCAGGTATTCCAGGCATCGCTTCTCTCCGCTCGTGCTCCAGTTTGGAAACTGCCAACATCTTCCTTAGGGAATCGCAGGTGAGACTGGATTTCTCTCCTGAATGCACCCCAAAACAAAATTTTAAAAATTGGAAGCAATCAGCCTGGCTCGTTTGTATAATCCTACCTTTAAAACCTTGAATTCTTTGGGGGAGGAAAGGAAATAATTCCACCTGCGAAAAGCCACCTCACTGCTTGCCCGGGATAGCGGGAATCAACTCGCGTGAAGTTTCTCCCATGAACAGGACCAGGCGCCCGATCGTTGCTTTCCCACCCAAGAAATTAAAATATTTTCACGTTGCCCTGTTTTTAGAGCGGGGGAAGAGGCCTGATGGGTCGTCAGAAGCCGACCTCACCTCGCAGGTCTTGGTGGATCCCCCAAAAAGTTTCATGACTGGGAGAGCTGGGCGATGACGGCGGTGATGTCGTGGCTGATCTCAGCACGGAGGTTTCACACCGCAGCCGTGGTCACGTTTCCCTCCCGGCGAGCAGAAACCAGCACCGGCGGTTGGCGATGGCGTGGGGCGAAGCCACCTTCCCTTGAGCCACCCTTGGGTGTTCCCATTCCTGGCATCACTTTCCAGGTAGGAAAAGCAAATTTCCTCACCCGCAGTTGGCTTTAATCATTATTTTATCTCCCCCCAGGTCGTCTCATTTCCAGGCTTTGCTGTCTCATCCCTCGCCTGGAAGCTGCTCCCATCCTTGTCTCCGCTTCCCCTCGCTCAGCTCCGTCGCGCAGCCAGGTTTGGGGGTTTTGGGGGGCAAAACCGTAACCAATTTCTTCCTTGTGCTGCGGTACAATTACGCACATTTTTGACAGTGCCTTTTTTTTTTCCCTCCTCCCTCCTCGACGCCTGTATTGAGAAAACAAATGGCCTTGAAATGGGGAAAAACAGGTGCAATCGGAGGGTGCAGGAGGCGTCCGAGCACATCCCGGCCCCGCCTGCGGGTGGGAGATTGGGGGTGTCCTCCCTCCCCGACCGATAAAAGCTGGCAGAGGCAGAGATGGGACTGAGCTTTCGCTGAGCCTGTGCCAGAGAAAGGGGAGAAAAAAAACCCAAAAGAGGAAAAAAAAACCAAAACCAAACAAGCGGAGGAGAAGCTGGTAGAGGAAAAGCAGCCGGAGGAACCCCAAAACGACACCAGTGCCACCAAGGAAAACCCCAAAAGGTTTGAGAGAGGGGAAAATCCCGATGCTGTCCGGGTGAGTTATATCACCCTGGCATCTTTTGGGGAGGAAAAAGGGATTTTGAGGATTCTCCCCATCCCATCAACAAGAGAAGGAAAGCAGATTTATCCTTGCTTTGCCCTCGGGATCTTTGTTTTGGGTTTAAAGGTGTTTTGCAGTGGTTGGTCATGGTTTTTGTTTGCTTCTCGTCTACCCATGGCCATCCAACTGGGGAAATTTGGATGAGAAACAGCATGGCTCCTGCTTTTATCTTAATTTAAGGGTAATTTCCCCCTCCTTTTTCCCACTTTTACTCATCCACCTGCTGCTTTAATTCCCCTCTCTGCAGTTTTGTTGGGGAAAGCACACGGAAAAGAAGCAACCTGTTTATTTTCGAGCATCGCAGTGCGGTTTATTCAACCATTTTGGGGTTTTATTACTAATTTTCAGTGCCCTTTAGGGCAGGTAAGCATTTGTTTGCACTTAATGGCCCACACCGCATTTCGGAGGATGGATTCGAGGCCCCTCGACGCCAGCCCTTATCTCCCCCGTGCACATTTTCCCCCGGGGCCAGCAGCAAATTTCTCCACCTCTCACAGGATTTCTTTGGACGCAGGAAAGTTGGACTCAGTTTATCTCAATTTTAAGGATTTTTCTCACTCAAATAAACCTTGTCAGATTTGATCGCCCAAGAAAATGAATGGCAGAGGCAGGGATGGTTTTAAGAAGGATTTATCCCCAAGCTGGCGCAAGGCGTGGGGATTTTGGGGTCTAATCATACCTACGAGGTAGGTGGGTCCATCCCAACATGCTCCTCATTTTCCCTTCATAATCATCGGGGAATTAATAGATAGAATCCATCTCCGTGGGTCTTCCCATAAATTAACCAAGCTTCTTTGCAGCTGCTGCAGAAAAAATAGCATTTTTTTTTCAAGTATTTTGATTAAATGCAGTGTTTGAACCCGTTTCCTGACATAAAAAGGGGTGAAAAGCTGAGTGTGCTCATTTGTAGGGTAACTTATTTTAGTCTTTCTTTCTTTCCCCTTTCTACGCCTCTAGCTGGGACGGGAGGACGTTGCGTGATGGCTTTCTTCCTCAAACCACGGCCGCGCACGTGGGATCTTGTCCTGGACTACCACACGGCAAAACAGTTTGAAGGTAACCAGAGGCGGCCAGAGAGGAGCAAAGAACCAATTCCTGGTGTTTTCTGGGCTGCATCAAGTGAGATGTCCATTGGAGTTGGAGATCCTCCAGCTCCACCTTCTATCTCCCTGGATCCTCCATCTCTTGGCTCCTCCATCTCCAACCTCACCTGGAGATCCTCCATCTCCAGCCTCCACCTCTTGGCTCCTTCACCTCCAATGTGGCCTGGACATCCTCCATTTCCAACCCCTATCTCTTGGCTCCTCCATCTCCAACGTGGCCTGGAGATCCTCCATCTCCAGCCTCCATCTCTTCACTCTTCCATCTCAAACCCTTATCTCTTGACTCCTCCAGCTCCAACCTCACCTGGAGATCCTCCAGCTCCAGCCTCCATCTCTTGACTCCTCCATCTCCAGCCTCACCTGGAGATCTTCCATCTCCAACCTCCATCTCTTCACTCTTCCACCTCCAATCTCACCGCTCCTCTCCCTTTCTCCTTGAAAAGTAACCAGTGAAGGGGATTTTTGGGGTGTGCGTCCTCTACGCTTAAGTTTGCCTTCTCAATCCTTCTCTGTTTTGCTTTCCAGTGGATGTGACCCTGGATCCAGCCACGGCAGGTCCTGAGGTGATCCTCTCCGAGGACCTCAAAGAAGCCACCTGGGGTAGACCTGGACACCGGTGGCCTGAGGGTCCAGGCCAGTTTGACACGGATCCGTGCATGTTGGGCAGCGAGGGCTTCACCTCGGGCCGTCACTACTGGGAGGTGGAGGCGAATGGGCGCTTCTGGGCTGTTGGGGTGGCCCGCGAGTCGGTTCAAAGGAAAGGCCGGGTCCTCTTCAAGCCCAACACTGAGATTTGGGGCTTGCAGAAGTATGATGAGCTCTGTGTGGCCCTCACGGCTCCTTCCAACACCTCCGTCCCGCTCCTCAATGGGGAGATCGGGGTCTACCTGGACTACGAGGTGGGACAGGTCTCCTTCTACGCCGTCGGCAGCCGCCAACGCATCTTCACCTTCCCCATGGCCTCCTTCAGCGGAGAGAGGGTCTTCCCCTACTTCTGCGTGCTCCTCTCCACCATCAAACTGTCCCCCAAGGGTTGATGTGCTGGCAGAGTCCCCTCGAAGCTGGTTGCTCCATGGTGGTTGGAAACACTCCTTGATGCTCCTCAACTCTTATTTTCCAGGTCTTGGAGTCATTTCCACCTCAGCTCCATGGTCCTACCTCCATCTTAGTTGTCTCCATTTTGGATTATATCCAAGGGGTTTTGGGTCTGAGCTCAGTGCAGCTTGTTTCACCTGAAAGCCGCTGTCGTTAAATTCATCCAAAGCTTGTTAACGGGAGATGGGCTTCACTGAACTGGTTTTGAGCTGAAAACTTGAATTTTGCTCCCAAACTCAGCCCCCTTTGAAGCTTTCTTTTACTGACCTCAATGTCTGTCACTGAACGGGCTTCCAACCCAAATTAAAAACCTTAATTTTTGCAGGCTTTGCATTAATACCAGCCTCTACCTCGGTTTAAAACTGGTTTTGTCATCACAAGGATGTGCTTGTGCTCGCTTCCCCCCCCCATTTTCTTCTGCTGTTCCCCACACTCTGGATGTATTTCCAAGTAATTAATGTACGATTGATTATAAATATGCTCAGAATATAATGAATACTTTTTCTGTTTTTGCTATAAGAAGGAGGAGGCGTCTGCGTTTAACCCACCACCAAGCTGCCCCAGCCCCACAAAGACCCCCCCAAGGCTGCCCTGGCCCCCCAGGACCCCCCAGGACTGCCCCATATGGGATCTCAAAGCCTGCCCTGATCCCCAACAGCTTCCTTGGTCCCCTGGGACCCCGAAGAACCCCCTCAGGGCTGCCCCACAGGGGTTCGCAAAGCCTGTCCTGGCCCCCAACAACCTCCTTGGTCTCCTGGGACCTTAAGCATGAAGGATGCCCAGGTGCATACCTTTAAGCATGAAGGATTTTTATTTTTAATGAAAGGAAATTTATTTAAGGAAAAAAATTAAACCAAGTGCCTTACCAGGGTGCCTGGAGCAGGGGAATGCTGCTGCTGGGGCACGGCTCTGTGGGGACCTGCAAGTCCACGTAAACTGTTTCCAGGACCGCTATAAAGTGCTGTCACTAGCCTTAAAAGAAATGAAAATAATTGAAAAAATTAAATAAATCAGCTGTGGGTTGCAGGGAATATGAGGCACCACCCCAGCACCTCGTCCCAAAGTGATCGCGTTCATTTTCTGCTGGTGTTTGGCTTTTTGGCAGTGAATGCAGAGAAAAGCATCTCCCCGCGCTCAAGCAGGGGACGGGAGGAACGAAGAGGGGGACACGGGTGAGTTTTGGGGTGCAGCCAGCCCAGCTGGGACCACATGGATCCCCTTTGGGTCAAATAATAAGAATACTCATCATTTGTTAAATTTTCTCCCAATTCTGGTGTTTGGATTGGTTTTTTTTTTCATTCTCCCACCCATATAATTTTCCAGGGGTAAATTGAAAAAATGTTTCCCTTTTTCGTCATCTCCAGGGTGAGAGATGCTCCTCGGCATCACATGAGCAGAGTCTGGCTGCAGATGAAGGAGTAGCGATGCCTGGTCCTGCCCGGATCCAGCCTGTTGAATGTCCAAAAGAAAGCAGATGTAATTTAAAAAAAAAACCAAACTTCAGGCTATAATTTAAAGCAGTAACAGAAATAGCCACAGGGGGTTACTAAGGACCAAGACAGTTCTGGATGCTGATATAAAAAGGTCTAAACTATAGGTCTTGAACCAAAGTTGACTTCTGAGTGAACTCCCCATCAACATCGTATTATATCAGCATAAAAAAGGACCATGGGAGTCATTCCTTGGAGACTGTCAAAGCTAAAACCAGACCGGTCAAAACAGGGACTCCTCATATGCACCCAGGCAGGAATTAACTGAAGGCCAAGAGGCGATGCCTTTACGCCTGAAAAGGCGTTGCGAAAGCATGCACTTTGTGATTTCTAAGTAATTAGCGAAATATGTACCAAAAAACCTTGTAGATAGAGAAAGAACGTTAAAACCAGTTGTGAAGGACAAAACGTGAGATTAGAAAACTGGCTAGGAACTAACGAATGTCAGGAGAAAGACAAACCAGAGCGATGCCCTGTGAGGTTCTGATCACAAAGTACCTCTGTAAGCCTCTGCTTTCTACGCGTGCCCGAGAAACCGCCAACGGGAAGAGTTCAGCAAAAGGACAAGTGATGAAGACTATGGAAAGACCCCCGGAGGAAGTAACCGACCACCAGAGACACTGTAATACCCACAAAAGGATAATTAGCTCATGTATATTAATTAGTTCAAAGGAAAGGTGTGCCTTATGGTAATGATTTCTTTGTCTATAAAATTAATACGCCACACTCTTGTAAATATGAAAGACCCCGGACGGAGCAGTCGTTGGGAGCACTCAGGGTGGGGAATGCCCAGTGCGGCCCCAAGCGCCGCTAAT